GGCCGGAGTTAACTGAAGACCAGACCAAGGAGGAAACGTTTGGAGACCAGATCAAGGAGGAAAAGTTTGGAGGGCGCCTGTGGGGGCTCCCCGGCACTCACACATCTCGTCCTTGTTGCGGGCATGGCGGGACAGGTTGCGGATGAGCCCCGTCAGGGAGCGCAGCTGGTGGTGGTCGGCGGTACGGACACGGTCCAGCACGGGGTTCAGGATGCGCTCCTGCTCCAGCGCCAGCCGGCTCAGCACCCCTGCCCACTGCCGAGGCAAAAGCCTGATTGAAGACTCTCACCAGCCATCAGCCAGCTCCTGCCCCCTCCTCCTTCTCCTCCCTCTCACCAGGGCCAGGTCGGGGTGACCCCTGCCCAGGTGCTGCACCGGCAGAGGAGATGCCTCCCCTCCTGGAGGTGTCCCTCCTGCCCAAGCACAATAGCCAGGTAGTGGGGACCACCAGGCTCGCCCTGGGACCCTCGTGCCTCACCCTGCGGTCCCCAGCAGTGATGTTCTGCAGGGCACCCGAGGCTGCCTCTGTTGTGTGCTTGTTGAGCTCACAGCGCTGCAGCAGCCGGTTGTAGATGCCCACGATCTGCGGGTTCCAGAGCCACTCCATGCCCTTGGGGTCCTTGGAAACCTCAGTGAAGGTGACGATGTCGGCGTTCAGGTAGTGCTGTGGGACAGGGGCACTGTTAGACTTGGGGGTGTCTCCTCCATAGCATTCTTCACTACTGGTGTTCCCTCTTCCCCTCCTGCCTGGCCTCAACCACTGGACAGGAATCTGGCAGGTCACCCTGTCTGCGTCATACCCCATAGCATGGAAAAGCAGGGGTTCAACACCCTGATTCACCCCAAACACCTGATTCACCCTCTGCTGAGCTCACCTGTGTGTCCCACCCACCAGCCAAGGCTGGCGTCCACCTCCGCCCTGGCATCACCTCAGCTGCCAGCGCTTCCCAGCACCAACCCCACCCTGGTGACACGGCCACCACATGCCTCTGCTGACCTCCCGAGCTTTCTTGCTCTGGGGACTGAAGCAGCCCACCAGCTCCCCCGTCATCGTGCCTCCAGCATTCCTCCTGTGGCCCTCGAGGCGCTGGAGTGAGGATGGAGGCATCTCGTCATACAGGCGGTAGGACAGATTGCGCAGGACACAGACTGCATTCTCCACGCTCTGTGGGGGGAGATGGGACACAACAGTGTCATCCCTGTGCCACCTGCCAGGGTGTCCCCAGCTGGCATGATCCCGTGGGACTCTGTGGCCAGAGTCACCCCAATGACACTGGTGGTGCCCACTGTGCCCAGTAAGCCCAGATGGAGCCAGGCTGATTCTCCCATCATTACATCGAGGCATGCCTTTGCACCACAACAGCCCTGTGGCTGCCAGAGCTGGGGAGCCCTGGGGGTGAGCCACCAGCTCCAGGACTCACCTTGTCCTCTGACTTCCCCACCTCCAGGGAGCTGTTCACGTAGTGGATCATGGAGTCCACCAGCCCGTGGCACTCACGCATCTTCTGCCGGGTCTGCTGGCTGGCAGAGCTCAGGTTCCTGCATGGGAATGGGGGGCTGTCACAGAGACAAGGAGATCCCCCATGACCACCCCCCACATCCCAGGCACTGCACAGGGAGCATGGCAGTACCTCCCTCACAGAGCTGAGCAGACTTTGGCTGTGCGCACAAGGTGGGGAAACCCCAGAAACGAGTCTGGCAGACCCTGCTCCCATGTTTCTTCCTCCCCTCAAAGCTTTGCCCTCAGCAGGAGGACCTGGAGCAGGTACCTGAGGAAGCCTGTGGAGTTGTAGAAGATCTCTGCCTCTGAGGGGTTCTGCTGAATCACACCAGAGCCCCCTAGCCCAGAGAGGGGCACAAGGACCAGGTCTGTGAGCTGCTCCAGTGTGTCCCGGGCCAGGCGATCCTTCAGATTGTCACTGGAGGAGAGATTCCACAGGATCCCTGCACAGAGGGCTATCTTCAGTACCAGAATGGCTGGAGGGCTCATCCACCCCAGCTCACCTCCCCGGGGGGCTCACACTGCCCACCACAGCCAGGGGCAGCCCTGGGACAGGATAGGTGACAGCAATCATCCCTGTGGAGCATCATCCCAGCTGTACCCACGGGCTGGGGCCACCATGTGCCACCACAAGGGGAGGGGGACCCCTGCCATTTGTCCCCAACCTGTGACATTCTTGCGGAGCTCATCGTCAGGCTCCCTCAGAGTACGCATGAGCTCGTAGATGCCGTTCTCCTCCACCAGCGCCAGCTTGTTCTCGACGTTGTCGTAGATGAGGTTGCGCATGGCGCCGGTGGCGTGGCGCTGCACCTCCTGGTTCGGGCTGTTGAACAGCTTCACCAGTTTGGGCATGGCCTGCAGGCTGCGGGCCTGGGGAACAGCCCAGGGGTGAGACACACCATCTTCCCAGAGCTCCCTCCCATCCCTCCGCCCTCCCGGGATGCCTGCCATGACGAGGGGCTAGGACACCCCTTTTCCCATGGGTCCTGGGGCTCACCTGCTTTTTGGCACTGCTGTCGCTGTAGCACTTGTGCTGCAGGTAGGCAGCACCCAGCACCTGCAGGTTGGGGTCACTGGCTATCAGATACTTCACTGCTGAGGGCAGGTCAATGTCGTCAAACCTGGAACCAGGGGAAGGTGAGGGGGAGTCCCACCAGAGCATCCCACAGGGTCCTCCACCTCTATGTCCCACTGCATCCCACATCTCTGAGGAGCCCCACCAACCCATCTCCCTCCCCACTGTGCTCTGGGGCATGGGACTCCCAGTGGGATGAGCATCTTCCTTCCCTGTGTCTTAGAATGTGTCCATGGAGGAGCCGAGGCTGCAGGCAGGACACACTTGGAGGTCAGCCCATGCCACGGTCCACCACCAGGGCGCCAAGCTGCACCCA